GATTGTAAGGACTTATCCAAATCAAAAGTAATAATCATCACAGCAATCTTAACGGGACACTGTAAACTAAAATATCAACTAACGAGACTGGGCATATATACGGATGCAAACTTCTGCAAATTCTGAGAAGAGAATGAAGAGTCAGCCACACGTGTGCTGTTAGAATACGCTGCGCTAATGCACACACATAATAGACTTCTGGGAATGTATATACTTACGGAAGATGCAATAAAACTCTATATAGTAGGTTCTATATTATTTTTTATTGATGCAACATGGCTTAGCAACTTACTCTAAACCAAAAAGAGGACGCAATGGACCCGAAGGTTACTCTGCCACATGCTACATCAATAATATAAATCAAAATAATTATGAAAGAAAGAAAGGAAAGATGTTTGCACACACTCTAAATATGTGTGCTCGATTGTACACAGATTTGTTATGGTGTTTTAAAAATTTATCCCGTTAAAATCTTTTTCTAAAATAAAAATTTTTATGATTTTATAGTTCCACAAAATTCTCAGCACAAATTTCAAGATTTGGAAAACAGAAACACTATTTGAGGCAGAAGATTATTTGTCCTGCTTCCTCCATAACCAAAGAAGTAGTTGATTTTTTTATTTATACCAGTGCTTTTCTTTCGCTGTTGGAGTATGTAATAAGGGATCATGACCAATCAATCAATATGGTACAAACATTAAATTGGTAAAATGGTAAATACATTTTCATTAGTTAGAAAAAATTAGTCAGAAAAATATATATAGCTTGAAATTCTCAAAAGCAGAGATGCTTGCATCAACAGGGTATCGGATGGTGGGTGTTAGAGTAAAGTAGAATTCATATAATTTTTTCCGCCAAAGTAGATATAATACCCATTTTACACTACAAATTAAAGATTTCTTACCAGAGGATCCTAAAGTGTGCGTCCATATTCCATATTTACTTCATAAACATGCTAATAATACAAAATACTTACAACCAATGTTATGGAAATACTGTGAGAAGGAATCGATTCCAGTCCAAAAGAGGTGACATAAAACTCTGTAACGATTGGAGAGGCATTTCAATGTAGAATGTGGTTAAAAAGTTTTCAGTTACAAAATACTGCAGTGGTCGAAGATTTTTTCGTAAAGAAGAAAAATATGACCGACCTATATAAATCTTGCACTGTCATTTTAAGATCATCCGCATGATAATAGAATAATCTTTTGAGTATAATAGATGCAAGTATATTCAGAGAAAAATTCACTGTGTCAAAACATTGTTGAAAATTATTATAAGAAACATCAAAGAATCTGCAAAGTAATGTAATAGTCTACATTATTTTAAAAAAAAACGTCAGTACCAAATATTTTACGTATAAAAGTTAAGACAGTTTTGGACTCTACAAAATAACAGTTCGTTCTGGTAAACTTTCTTCCTCTACTACATACAGTGTATATTAGGCATATGTGAATATAAAACAGCAAAGAACATGTTATGCAGACGATCAATTGATCATCAATCATAATTTATTTTGCACTGAAAGCGAAAACTTGGGGTTAGGGTGTTCACGCAACCTCTTAAATTTAAGCTTGAGTTGCATTGAAAGCAACTTCAATTGACAGCTAAATATACAAACATGACAGCTAAAATTACAAACAAAACTTGCGTGTGAGTCCAGTATTATTTATTTTACTACCTTGATCATCGACACAATCTATATTCATAGCTAATATTGCTTTTTTGAGAGAACTAAACTTTTGAATATGATAAATTAATATACATATTTTAGGTATTTAGGCTAATAACTGTAAAAGTCATAATATTTTATGTAAATAAGTTTCAGGTCTGTTTATTTTTCCAGTATTTAACATCTTTTTGATTTTGTAATATTATGCTGCTACCAGTATTCGGTAAAATATTAAATTTTTCCACTTTACTGTTAAGTGTTACACAAAATTTTAAAACTTAAAGTATTTAAAATACATAATAAATAAGGATATATAAGTTCGGCCGTGTGCAAGTTTGAGTAAATTGAGGTAAAGTAAATTAAAATTTTCTAGAAATTTTTTGCACTGCACTTATGTAAACATTTATTTATTGCACTTATTTATTATTTTTGGTTAAAAATGTTCAAATTTATTTATTTATTTATTAAACAACTTATAAAATTTTTACAATGATAACACATAATTTACTAAATTTTATCTTATATAGTCTACTCCAAATTCTGGTAAGTACCAACATTCGCTGCCATACCGACATAATTTACTATTTCCTTCAATTTAACATCAATTTACTCGAACTCTCACACACGGCCTTAATATAAATATTTTATAAAAAACAAACTTTATTTTAGTTATATCTTTTTCTTTACATTTTTATATTTTCGTGCTTTCATGTAGAACAAAGTTAGCAAAAAAAAATATCAGCTGCTTTGATTTTCAATTTCATAACATTAATAAAAAGGAATTGAAAAAGTTCATTCAGATGCATATCGTTTCACGACTTAACCTAATCTTATAATTTTACATGTCAATTGTTATTGCTTTCAAAACAAAATGAACATTTTTAACAGCAAAAGTTACAAACAAAACTCTCGTGTGAATCCAGTATTAATAAAGCTAAGATTTGATCGTTTCCATTGGCATGAGCTGATTTATGCATATGAAATAGATTGTTTCACACATAAAACATGTGACAAATATTTCAAATATTGGTAACTTGAGGATGAAATATATTTATAAGGGTTGCATTTTTCATTTTCCGCCTTAAATGACTTGAGTAATTTATAATGAGCTCATTTATGTGAATTCATTTTTAATAATAAATTATTCTTATTAGCAAAGACACTTATGAGGAAAACTGCTTAAATGAGACCAGTGGAGTCATGGTATAGTCTATCAAATACAATACAAATTAATTTAAGTTATTATTATTAATTTTTATTTATAATATTAGTTAAAAGTAGTCGAACAATTAGCATAATACAACTTATATACAATGCAGTAAAATACAATATAATACAATATAAGCACCCCGTTTACACGAGTTTTTAAAGTTGTTTTTGAGACTCTTAACTGAATTTTGTTTAAAGGCACTTTTAGTTTACTAATAGCAGTTTATTATCACTTTTAGTAAGAAACATCACTTTAAAGTATTGTGTAAACACCTTAAAAGCAGTTTAAGTTTTGAATTGTCAGCTGTTAACTATCAATTGGTATTTAAATTTTATTACAAATAACACTATTTACAAAAAAAAAAAAAACACTAAAAATACGAAAAATAACGAAAAATGAAAAGAAAAAATTGGATGAGAGAAGATGAAGAGTATTTAATTAAAGTATTTGCAAAAAAAGAAATAGTAAAATTGTTGGACAGCAAGAAATATGGAAACGATACAGTTTATGAAATAGTTCTGCCAAGAATTGGAAGTCAGAAGTATTGTCATTTTATTGAAGAATTGTAATCGCAATTCTAATTTTGTGAATTTTATACGGAATATATCTAAAATCTTAAATATTGTTTTATTATTTTCTTCCACTGTTTTGTTAACAATATCTTTATTTTGCAATTAAAGTAAATTAATTTTTAGTTTTTCTCTAACCATTTTTAAAATGATTAAAATTATAATATGTGATACTTCTGTATTACCACTTTATTATCAATTACAGCACTTTTAAATGTATGTTGTAAATGTTCATTATTTTGCGAGGATTTATTGTTTTAGACGTTATTATTGTTTTACACGTTATTATTCTTTTTTCTTTTGCTTTTGAGAAGACGATGGACCATTAAGTTCTCCACACATATTAATTTACCGCTTAACAGCTGACTGACTTTTTTATCTCTTGTGCGTAAACGCTCTAAAAACTAATTTTAAAATCAGTTCTAAAAGTAATTTTAAATAAATTTAGTGAAAACATAGTGAATGCAAATAACTTTTATTAATTTTTATTTATAATAATAATTAAAAATAATAGAACAATTAGCCGATAGGGCTAATAAATAAATAATATCCTACGTCAATAAAATTAACAATTTTGCGTTTTAAAAATAATTGTATGTTTAAAAGTCGAATATAAATATATAACGGACTATAAACTAATTAAAAAATTCGAATATTTCCTAAGATCACTGATGATGAGTACGTGGCAATACTTGAAACAGCGTTGTATGGTCAGCCAAATTTCAATAAATGGAATAAATTAAATTAAATAAACTTTGAAATAGTTTCTTTTCGTTATAAAGACTTGTCACGCTGGGCAAGAAAAAATTGAACATAAATATATGAGATTTTCAAAAATTCCTAATAGTGTTCAGTGCATTTAGATATTTATGTATTACTTGCGGAATATAACAAATATGTGTAGTACTTCTCAAACTACAACCCTGTAGTAGTATATATGAATTCACCATGGACAATGACGAAATAGACACCATTACGCTGAAAATGTATACAACATTCATGTATGGTGAATGTATGTATGGGTATATGTCGTTTTCTCGCAATGTATGGAGAAATAAAGTCGTGTTAGAAAGATAAGGTGGTGAGGCTGTGCAAATAATTAAAAAAATCTATTAAAATTCGTGAAAATACAAACTATTAATATAATATTTTTCTTTCTAAAGATTAAGAGTTTATATTGTAAGAAAAATGAAAAACGTGAGTAAAGGTTCAAATAAACTTAAAAAATACGTGACATGTGAAATAATAGTGTAGTTGCATTTAGATATTGCACAAGTTATTGGAAAAAATGGACAAAATTTATGTATAATTTGTATTAATATTTAATTTTGTTTATATGGTTATATTAATACGATAAAATGCGCTTTAAAAAGTAATTCTGCACGAAGAAAGAAGGAAATGTGTTTCAACACAAATTATCATACTCAGTGACTGGTTTAAATATAATTTTTTAAATTTAAACATTAAACAATATTTTTCCAATAAAAGTTTGAAAAATATCAAAAATATTAAAAAAGTTTTAATATTAATAACATAAACATAAGAAATTATAAAAAATTATTCCCAGAAAATAAATTGGAGCGGCTTTGAAGCTTGATGTTTTACGTAAACCGACCAATTTGTATGTTTAGTGTTATTTAAAAACAATTAGAAGTGACGGCGTACGTGATCTAAACTTTTGTTTTACATATATGTAAAATTATCTGCAAAAAGTTATTAGCCTTGCCTAGCCTTGCCTCGCTCAAGTTGTACAAATCGCCAAAATCGCCAAAGTCGTCAAAGGTTTACATTTTTGGGATTAGAGTGCACAACGGTCACACAATCACACAGTCACATTATTTTGGTTTGTTGGAAGATTTGAATCGAATCGAATCGAATCTTTGCTGCTATATGGCCAACCAAGGGGGCAACAAAACAATGCATCTTGCCGCTAGCAAAAATATAGAAAATCAGAAAATATGAAAATCAAGAGAACTTTAGCAAAATAAACAGTTGAGAAGGAAGGAAAGAAAGAAAGGAAATAGTAAGTTGAACTCCTGGCCACCATTTTTGTTTTTTTGGAAAATGTGGTTTTTTTTTCTCTAAAAGATTTGGAAGATCTTTTGGTGTAAATTAACTTTTGTTAATTATGTAGAGTGCAGTGCGCTTTTATATTTCGTAAATTATATAAAATGAAATGAAAAACAGCAAGCAAACGAAAATTTTGCAAAAACGCAAACTGAGTATTGTATGCTTTGTATAATTCCATACTTGCTTCAGATATCGATATTTAGACGATATATAAGACATACACGTTTATTATAGATAATTGCTATCTAATTGCTAATAACTGCTAATAATTGCCATATAGAGGGTACAGAATTTTGGTAAAGTTCTAAAAGAGTTTTATGCAAAGTCTGTAATATTACATAGATTATGTGCGCTATGGGGGGTTGCATATTTTATAAAACTAATCGATATATGTGTTTACTCTGAGTCGCATGGAAATAAAATTAAAGATGAATCCGAGTGTATCACAAAAATTTCTTAAAAATATATACATTGATTATATGTCAGTTAATGCAACGTAAATATAGTTTGAAAACTAATAATTGTGACTTCTGTAGAGTGTGAAATAATTCCTTCCAACGATTTCTCTGGCTTGATCAATATTTTATGTTCTTGAAAGTGTGTCATGAACTTCCGCCTAAGAGCGGGTGGGCTCTTCTAATACAAATAAACATAGTCGCTCAAGCACCGTACTTTTTTTTTTTTTTACTTCAACGTGAATTTCGTCTGTGTATTCTTCCCTTTAAAGGTTCAAACAATATGGCTTCCTCATTGCTTTTTGCTATGAGCATTTCGCCTTATCGTGTTCTCCGCGCTGTGTTGTTGTTTATATGCAACTACGTTATACACATAATTTTTAGTTTTTTTTTATTTTTTTTTTCTACTCGTTATTCCTTATTTCGCTGTAATGTTGTGTAAGCTGACGTCCCCATTATAATTGGTGATTCTGCTGACTATATAATAAATTTATTTAAGTGAAAAATATGGATTTCTACTCGTGTAAAGAACCGCCAAATAATGTATATACATGCTATATACTATATAAAGTTAGTAAATATTGTTCACTGACTTTTTATATAAACAATTCAGTTCGTGTAGGAGATGACTGCCAGTTATACTTTCTTCTCAGTGTTTTTATTTTAAATTATATAATTTACACATACGCTCTATTACATATTATATATATATTCTACACATATATATGATGATGAATATAGACAAATGGGGACAGACAGGGAGTTCTGTTATTGAAGCTCTTCTATATATATATTCTGCATGAAAACAAAGTGTTTAAAATAATTTATGTTCTATAATAAAATTAAAATAAACTACTAATTCATTAAAAACTTAAAAAAAAAATAGCTGCAATAATTTGAACTGCAGTAGTGAGTGCCATATATCAATATTAAAATCGGTAATCAATCGATAGCGCAAGTCTATAACAGAACATAAGAAGTCCACTGCGACACCATAAAATGTAACTATTGTAAGCTATTGCAAAAACAAAAAAAAGGCGTCAAGTGTAATTGCATATAGTGTACTGTATAGGGTTTAAAGTGTTCAGTGGCTATATAAAATATAAATTAGTTCTAGTACTAGTGGATATTAGCGACTAATAAACTAAAACGTCTTAAAAATCTGCTTGCTTCTAAGGATTAGAAAAAGTTGATAACATAATATAAATATATAAAATATAAATTAGTTCTAGTACTAGTTCACATTAGCGCGACTAGTAAACTCTCTCGCTCTCTCGCTCTCTCTAAAGGGTTTTAAATCCGCTTGCTTTTAAGGATTATAAAAAGTTAATAATATAATAATTGTAATATAATAATATAATAACAATTATATAATAATTATGTATAACATAAGTGTTACACAGACAGATGCAGATCATAACTGCTTTCTTCACCGGTAATTTATTAGACAGACATAAATATTATTAATATAAATAATTATTTATTAAAATATTGTATATGTCTCTGCCGATATAAAGCAAGTAATAATAATAAAAAATTGTAGATGTGATTGGTACACTATGTTATATTTATAACTATATAGGCGAAGATGAGTTTAGTCCAACACAAATACTGAAATTAAAATACTGCGCAAGCATAATTTTAAAAATTTTTATAAAAATTTATTTATATTATTAATTTAAAGTCGGTCGGTCATTCTCTATTACGCGCAGTGAGCGATTGGTATTGTTACTGTTTGTTGTTGTAGCCCGCAGGGATCTGTTCGTGTTGTCTCTTTTGGATGTGCTGAACGGTACCTGGTCGTTGAACTTGACGAGTGGCTTTAGAAAGTTTTTAAAACCGTCCTTGTTTCTTCTAGAGGTGAGTGGTGGTAAAATGAGTAAATGGCTCTTTTTTGCTTGCTGAAGACTTGGCTCTACCCAAAATAGACGGATGATTTTTTTTTTTTTGCATTTTCATAGGCGTTCTAATCATATCAGCATATAAATCTGTTAAGAGATCTACGTGGGTGCGATCTCTTTTTGGTAATGCAGCAATTGTTAACTATCCCATGATGTAACTATAACATTTCTTTTATGACAATTTATATATCTAACGTTATTCTCAAATTAAATATATAAAGAAATAAATTTTACTTGATCTTTATCTAGTACTTTACATGTCGTATAGTTAATTACTGCAACAATACTATTAAATACTAAATAGATTTCTATTTGCAACTCTTGGATTTTTTTAAGGCATTTCATATGTAATTTGTTGTTTTTAACTTTCTTAGTTTTAGGGTTTTAATAGTAGATGTTAACATTTCTCAATTAGCTACATGAATTCTATAAATTTGGTAAATCTTATTTCTTGTAATATCGTTTGTAGCCATTGGGAAATTTATCGACCTAGCCAAATTAATCGATGGCGAAGTTGAAATGTAAGAATATCTGCTGGAGAATCCACGACTCCGATACTTTCGCTATTAAGGAAAACAGAGAGATCAGCCCCTACAGGTCATCTTTCGCTGGTTTATTCAATTTTTGCAGTGGAATTAGAAATCCATTCTTTTATATTTTTAGAATAATTATTGAGGTTAATGAAGTATTTAAAATATGAGTCATGACATGCCAATAAAGACTACAGCTTTCAAAGTCTTTGTTTGTGTGAATATCAGGTAGTACAACGTGGTAAATATGCGTTTATGATTTTGTGAATCAAAGTAGATCCAATTTCTCGCCTTATTGTTGATGTAGGGTTAATAATGCTTTAGTAGTAGTTTGTCTATAAGCTACTATTTTGAGGACCTAAATGTTTTCTCGCGAAATACGGTTTTAGATTACCTTTTTGAAGTTTGCGTTGAAAGCTCGAGTTCGACTTCAGTGTTATATCAATATTCTAGCATGTAGTTGTGAGTTAGTGAAGAGTGTTAATTACAACTCAAATTATTAGTATTAGTAATATTCGTCATTAGAAAAGATGAAGAAAACTTGCCGTGACTTATTGTGTTCGTCAAAATGGAAGCGACTCCAAATCTGAATAACTTGATCGGTTTGTTTTTTTTTTTTCTGTTGTGGTACAATCGATTTAGTTGTGTTGGTGTTTGGCATAATTTCCGAAGGTAACTGTCTATTACCTTAATGTAAAATACCGTATAATCATTTTACATACCATATTTTCAAAACAATTATGCAAATTATATGACGGTCCCAGGATATCTACTCCAACAAATAAAGATCTCCTTCTCAAAAATAATGGTTAATATGGTTTGGAAAAAGATGTATTTTATTTTGTTTCTTCTTTTGGACATAGAGAACTGTTCAGCAGTTGGTTAAGGCTAATACTGTTATTTTTAAGATTGAATATCAACCAGAACTCATGACTAAAATGTTGTTTAATAATATTATTTATCACACTTTATTATAAATTATTTATATATATTATATTAAATATTAATTTCCAATAACAATAGCTGATAGCTAAATTCTTAATGCATGATTTCACAATATGTGATGTCTAACTTGATTTTAATAAAGATAAAGATAAAGTAAATGAAATTTTTACTGCATATATTAATTAAAGCTTTGAAATGTTATTTTTAAAATAAATTCTTATATTTAAACATTTTTAGATTATTGAACAAAAATGTCTACAAAACTAACAACTGCAACAGAAACCAGTCCAAATAATAATGCAGCATCAACATCATCAGCTGCATCAAATGGTAACACAACACCAGCTCGTCGTCTACGTACCCGCCATTCTACCTGTGCTAATACAAGTGTTGGAGAATCTACAAAGAAAAATTTAAATTTGACTGAGCGTGTATATTTTATAAATGATTCAAATGTAAACGATGCTTCTGTGCCTACCACAACTTTTGACGAAAAGCTACCGACAAACGTAATTGGTACCAATAACAGCTCTGGAAAGAAATATCATAACAGTTGCCCACATCCGACGAATACAGTACGCAGTAAGAATCAATCACCTACACAGCCACACAGCTCTAGCACATTCAGTATGAATAAGAACGAGGGATTCAATTTTGATCCACCACCTGAGTGTCCTGTATTTCGTCCGACGGTCGATGAATTTAAGAATCCGCTAGCTTATATAAGTAAAATTCGTCCAATCGCGGAGAAATGTGGTATTGCAAAAATTTTACCACCAGAATCATGGTCACCACCATTTGCTGTTGATGTAGATAAATTAAAATTTACTCCACGTGTTCAACGACTTAATGAGTTAGAAGCGAAAACTCGTGTTAAATTAAATTTTTTAGATCAGATTGCAAAGTTTTGGGAATTGCAGGGCTCTTCACTGAAAATTCCAATGGTTGAACGTAAAGCACTCGATTTATATTCGTTACATAGGTTAGTGCAAGAAGAAGGTGGTATAGAACAAACGACTAAAGAGCGCAAGTGGACGAAAATCGCAAATTTGATGTCATATCCTCCTAGCAAAAGTGTAGGAGCTACACTTAAAGCGCACTATGAGCGTATTCTATATCCTTATGAAGTATATACATCTGGTAAATTAGGTCAAAGCTCCACTCCTCCAGATTCCCCTGTACCGGATGTTTCTATTAAACTTGAAGATGGAACTGATTACAAAGCACACGAAATCATAACGAGGCAGCAAATCACACCCCCGAACGAAAGTAGTGCTCGGCGTTCCAAACGTTTTGCAAATTCAAGCGCAAATTGTGGTCTTGGCGCTAATAAAGCAATTACCATTAAAACTGAGTGCAAAGATGATATCAAACCAAATCAGTGTTTAAATTACCCTGGTTGTCCGGGCACAGGAGAAGGACGTACATGTATTTGTTTTGCTAATCCTGTAGAAAAGAAATTCTCTGAAAATAATTATTTTGATCCGTTACTTAAGTATGTGTGTAATATATGTAACCGTGGCGATGTGGAGGAATCTATGCTATTATGTGATGGTTGTGATGACAGTTATCATACCTTTTGTCTTTTACCACCACTTACAAGCATTCCTCGAGGTAATTAATTTATTTTGACATAGAAAATTTAATGGTTATTATGAGTCAAGAATTTTATTTAATATTACGCTTAATTTAATTTTAATTGGTTTTAAATAAATTATTTGAATATTTATTGAAAATATATTAAAATATTGGTCCAACTTCTTTTTTTTTTTAGGGGAATGGCTTTGTCCACGTTGTGTTGTAGAGGAAGTAAGTAAACCTACGGAAGCTTTTGGATTTGAGCAAGCTGAACGTGAATATACTCTGCAGCAATTCGGACAAATGGCTGATCAATTTAAAATGGATTACTTCCGAAAGCCAGTACATTTAGTTCCTACTTCTTTAGTGGAACGTGAATTCTGGCGCATTGTATCCTCCATTGATGAGGACGTTACTGTAGAGTATGGTGCAGATCTTCACACTATGGATCATGGTTCCGGATTCCCAACAAAAAGTTCTCTTTATTTGTTACCAGGCGATCAGGAATATGCTGAATCCAGTTGGAATTTAAATAATCTTCCTTTACTTGAAGAATCAATATTAGGACATATAAATGCTGATATTAGTGGTATGAACGCACCTTGGATGTACGTAGGTATGTGTTTTGCAGCTTTCTGTTGGCACAATGAAGATCACTGGAGTTACTCAATCAATTATTTGCATTGGGGTGAACCCAAGACATGGTACGGTGTGCCTGGCAGTTGTGCTGAACAGTTTGAAGACTCAATGAAACAGGCAGCCCCTGAGCTGTTTGCTTCACAACCTGATTTACTACACCAACTTGTCACAATTATGAATCCAAATATTTTAATGAACAATGGTGTGCCTGTTTACCGCACTGATCAAAATGCTGGCGAGTTCGTGATCACTTTTCCGCGTGCCTATCATGCTGGTTTTAATCAAGGTTACAACTTCGCAGAAGCTGTAAATTTCGCTCCAGCAGATTGGCTTAAAATGGGACGTGAATGTGTTAACCATTATTCGATGCTGCGTCGCTTCTGTGTATTCTCACATGATGAGCTTGTTTGCAAAATGGCTTTAGAACCTGCAAAGCTTACTTTTGGCATAGCTACGGCGTGTTACATTGACATGGCAGAGATGGTCGACTGCGAAAAACGATTACGCAAATCTTTGTTAGATTGGGGAGTCACTCGTGCTGAGCGCAAAGCTTTTGAACTTATACCAGATGACGAACGCCACTGTGGTGAATGCAATACAACTTGTTTCCTTTCAGCCGTGGGTTGTGATTGTACCAAATCAATAGTATGTTTGCGTCATTTCACTGATCTTTGTCATTGCACACCCGATAAACATACATTACTCTATCGGTACACTTTGGATGAGATGCCGCTTATGCTGCAAAAGTTGAAATCAAAAGCACAGAGTTTTGAACGCTGGCTTTCCCGATGTCGTGATATTGTGGATGCGAGTACGCCTACTTCGGTTACTCTTGCGGAACTTCAAGAATTATGTAAAGAAGCTGAAGTCAAAAAGTTTCCATCCTCGTTGTTGATTGATCGTTTAAAAGCAGCTGTAGTTGAAGCTGAAAAATGTGTTACTGTTATACAACAGCTTGGCATCAATAAGGTTTGTAATAAATCATATTTATACGTTACAACTTCACGTGTGTTTATATATGTATTTCTAAAGACTTGGCCGTATTAGGAGGCGCAAAAGTTTCTTTGTGCGTTTTTGTCCAATAGGAGGTGCTATTTTCATTTTTATTTTTATTATAACAGATAGAGAATAAATAAAGACAGTTATATCAAGAGTATTACATCTTCACGAGAGGAGAGCTTAGCCAAATAAGTATACATTACCACATATTTGATTCTATCTTTTTTTCTGGCTTTGCTTCGAATGAAATTCATTTCTTGTATATGGAATATCTAGAAACCCTATTTCTGTATACGCTTTCGGTTAAAAATTTAAATTCTTATCGCAAAACTCCTATCACAATTTCTAAGACATACTTTCAATATCTGTCTGTTTAATATTTTTATTAAAAACTTTTGATGTCTTTAACTTGCCATGAAATTGTAATTTATTTTGCAATAATGTGCTTGTGAAGTATAAGAATATTAATAATCTGATGTGCTCTTGATATGTTTGTAACAGTGCTATGTGCTTTGTTCACTGGATAAGATAGAATGTTTAGTATTTCTGTATTAATTGAAATCCTTAAGACCTTTACAAAATATCTCTTTATCATTTAATTGTCTTTTAGGGAGTGGAATTATTTCCAGTGGACTTATTTACTAAATATATAAACTACCGGTGAAGATTTAATAATGTATGTGAAGATTGTTGACACAACTTCTCCCGGGATGTAGATTTGATCGTTCATTGAATCCTTGAAATGTTCTTTTGAAATACGGTATTCAATGGTTTCAGAACTGAACTATAAGTTTGCATACCGACTGGCAGACAGGTGGAAATCGTTAAATAAATTTCTTATAACATCTCATCTGATCAAGAATATATATGAAATGATTAGTTATACATAAGAATATTTATAAATTGACTATATATATATATATATATACATATATATATATGAATAAATATAAATTGATTATTTATTTAAATGAACATATATAAATTAAGTTTTTATAGTCAATGTTGACACCATTTTAGAAAACTATTAAGTGAGTAAATAAACATTTATGCCTAAATCATTCGTCATCCAAATCCTCTTGCTTTACTTAGCAAACAAGGGTTATTCATAAAGTCAACATTTCTCCTGCTTTTTGACAGGAAAGGAGTGGATTTTGAAATATCTATGCAAGTTTATTAAAAAAACGAAATTAAAATAAAAAATTTTATTAAACGTTTAAAACCCCAGTACTCGAACTTCAACTCGTTATTGCTAAATACCCAGATGCCTTAGAGAAAAACGGGTGTGTCAGATAAGCCTCAAATAAACCTTGCGCCATTGTAGAATCGAAAGAAAGAAGTTAGTGTCTCACAGTGTTATTAACCAAAGAGTATTCACTTATGTTGTTGCTGTTGTAGTCTGCCAGGATCTATAACGCATGGAAGAATGAAAGGAAAGGAATCGTATGAAATGATATTACAAAAACATATACATGGGTTAGGATGTGGATAGGAAGTGGTATTGTGAGAGGGGATGGGATTGTTTAGGTGTAAGAATGCATTATTAGGGGATGGGTTTGAGAGTAATCAATCATAAAATCGTACAATACTCATTATTTTGATGTAATTAAATATATAAATAATAAATATTTTATAATGTTTGATGTGTGTTGTTAGAAGACTAAGTAAGATATATTTAATATTACACAAAAAGAATATTTTTGCTAACCTAACGCTTCGCTCAATTTAGATTCGGACAACTTAATTGCCCGTTCTCTATTATAAAGTAGAGGTATTTGCAAAAAATTTTATTGAAATAATTGCATTTGATAAATGTTATGAATTAATTTATTTTTGTAGTTATAAAATTAAAATGTGTATGTATTTTATTTATTTGTTTTAGGTGCGTACACGATCCGATAACGTGGAACAGGCACATTACAAACTCACAATGGAAGAATTGGAGTTATTTGTTCAAGAAATTGACAATCTTTGCTGTATAATCGAGGAAGGTGTATCGGTACGTGAGTTATTGGTATTGGGTAAGCATTTTGTGGAACGAGCAAATGCTTCACTTGAATGTGGCTTGGACAAGTTGGAAGAATCTGAACTTGATGGGCTTATAATTGAAGGAAATTCTTTGCGTATTGAACTTCATCAAATGAACTATCTTAATAATCGAATTAAGCAATTGAGATGGTACAAAAAATCGATCAGCTTACTCACATCTAGCACAAAACCTTGTTATGCTGATATAGTATACTTATTAGATTTAGCGAATGCAGAAGTTGTACCGGATGACCCCTTCATAGATAAAGAAATTCGAAAATTACAAGAAATCGGAGCGTCAATCGAAGCATGGGAGCAACAAGCCAATCAATATTTTCTTAATGTAATGCAACAGCATCATCTTTTTGAAGTAGAATGTTTTCTTAAAACAGCTAATAATATTGATGGACAAGTGCCGACATATGTCAAACTGAAAGATGCCGTACGTAAGGCTAGAGAGTGGTTGCGTTCAGTTGAATCATTACAAACTAATGACCACTTTCCGTATTGTCATACCCTCGAAGCAATAGTTCAGCGTGGTTGTAGTATTCCAATTCAGCTCGAAGAGTTATCTCGTATTGAGGATCATTTAAAACGTGCACATGAATGGAAAGAAAATACAGCGCGTGCATTTCTTAAAAAGCAAACATTTTATACTTTACTGGAGGTACTGATGCCCCGTGCCGAACCAGTGATTATAGATTCAGATTTAAAAAAGCCATTTAAAGATGACTTCGTCAAAGAAATGAGTCCAGCGCAGATTGTGGAATCATTCAAATGTGCAGAAGATAAAGAAATAAAAGATATGCGTGATCTTCGTAAACAAAATATGATAAAAAGTCCATTAAGTGATCAATACTGCCTCTGTAAAACACAATTTAAAGATGTTATGTACAATTGTCAGCTTTGTCGAGACTGGTTTCATGCCGGTTGTGTACCGTCACCACATACAACTATAGGCGCAACAGCTGGTTTTAATGGAAAATTAAAGTGGTTATGTCCTTCATGTGTGCGTTCTCGGCGACCACGTCTTGAAACTATTTTACCATTACTTGTATCGTTACAAAGTCTGCCAATACGCTTACCAGAAGATGAGGCTCTACGATGTCTTGCAGAAAGAGCAATGAATTGGCAAGATCGCGCACGTAAAGCGCTTTCTAGTCCCGATGTTACTGCTGCTGTAGAAGCAATCAGTAATTCACAGCGGAATAAAACAATAAGACGCAAACCCGGTAATTCTGCACTGCTAGGTATCCGCAAACAGAGACGTAATAGCCTGCAAAATACAAAAGATGTAACTGACAATGATACAGATGATGATGACGATCGGCTGCATATTGTAGAAGATGCGCTTAGTAATGACGAAGAAGTCGTTGTAGAAGAAGCTTATAACATTGAGTTTCAGAAACTACTATCAGGTAGTGAAACTGATAATTTGGCTGAATTATCAATGGAAGGTGATTTGCTTGAAGTATCATTAGATGAGTCACAAGAATTGTGGCGTCTATTATCCGCTGTGCAGCCAACAAAGACAACAGAAGCAGCCACACTTGTAGAGCAACATCAAATAAAGCAGAAAAACATGCAATCTATATCTAATGCAAACTCAGCAGCAGAAGATTCGAACGATAGTTTGCAGGTACAAAGCAGTCCAAATAGCAATAGTGGCAGTGCTTCAGGCCGCAATCATACTACAGTCAAAAAACGTCGCACAATCGATCCTGTGACTGGCTGCCCTGTACCACGAAAAAAGACGACTTCCTCACTAACCAAACAGGGTGCAAACTCTACACAGAAAAAAGTTGGGCGCAAGTCTGATCTTAGCAAACAGATCTTGGATGACAATGCAGAGAATTTTACTCCAACAAAATCAACGAATGATGGAGTTGCTGGTGCAACAAACGCACAAATTTCATCACAAAAGAAACGCAAACGCATGGGAAACAATATTGTAGCAAGCGGGCAGAAAAAATCTCAGCAACGTACACAAACGGCCTATCAGGACGACGATGAAGAGGAGTGTCGCGCAGAGAATTGCCATAAGCCAACTGGTCGTGAAGTTGATTGGGTGCAATGCGATGGAGGCTGCAATGAGTGGTTCCACATGTTTTGTGTCGGCCTTAATCGAAATCAAATCAAAGCGGATGACGATTACATATGTGTGCGCTGTTCAAAGGCGACTGTGGTGTCGCCGAGAGTCGCTGCAGCGAATATAACAGCCGCAGCAGTTAGTGGCGCTAATGTTGTGACATTAAGTAACAACAATAACAATAAAAATAATGCAAATAGCAATACAATCCAAACACACGCAAGTCTGCCGGCAACAAGCGCTGCAACAAATATTCGCAGCGGGCGTACGCAAACAGCTCGGTAAGATAAAAAATTTAACTATAAATTAACTATTTACGCAACAAAGGATCAATTAGTTGTTATGTAAAAATTGAAAATTTTTTGTATAGAAGCTTATTATATAGTTTGGAACATTAGTTAGTAATAACTGCATAGTATAGAACAAAATGTAACATCACTTAAGATTTTCTTCGATTTAGCTAGTATTTGTTTACCAAAACTTACGATTTGTGGAGTAGATTCGTTAAAGATTTGCTTTCGTCTTTTTATTTCTTGAGAAATAGAAATTTGATTTATTTGAGTTTCTTCATTTAGAATGCTATTTGCCGCTTTCTCGCAGCACCAATACTTTATCAACTATACTTCTATGATTGTTTTATACTATTCTAGTTATCTACAGCACACTAGCCCTAACCAGTTATCAGTGAGTACATAGTTTAACGAAGTATTAACGACATTATCTGTTGCGTGCAATGAGAGCTCCTAAACGCAAAATCAAAACGCAAAACGCAAAACGCGTGGCTTGCCATTTAAGTATTCCTGTTAGTTTATGAGCTACCGAGCTACCAGAGTAGACGAAACTTGTCCGACGACATATTACGTTTAGTGTAATATGCAATTATTAAGCCAATAGCTTTTTTTTTTTTTTTCTTTTTTTTTTTAAATGATAACATTTTTAAGATGTTGTGCTCTAGGTTGGGTTTAGAAGCTATATTAATATAAAATAAATGGAGTATCTACAGTTCAGTTTATGACTGTAGGAGGTACTCTCACTTTCTTCTTTAAACGGCTTTAATTAATTTTTATGGTCCCTTTACGTATATGTTTTAAAAACATTGTTTTTTTTCTATAATTCTAATTTTTATTTTAATTTTATTTTAATTTTGGAATTTAATTTTAATTCCACTGACCATTTTTGTGTTTTGCTATGTACTTATCTTATTTTTTTTCATATAATTTTTAATGTAATTTTATTTTTGAAATATTTTTTATGAAAGACAAACGTTTGTTGCCTATGATATGTAAAACAATCTATACTTCGTTTTCGTCTATATAATATAAGAGCTTCTGCTGTTTAATAATTTTCTTTAAAATAAATAAAATAAATAAAAAAAAAAAACAAAAAAAAAAAATGTAAGTGCGAAATTTTTATAATTAATAATAAGTCAACTCAATTAACTTTATATTTATATTTATTGTGTATGCAACCATATTATAAGCATACATATCATTTAGTGCAGCGCTTTTTGTGTGAAATATTTTCAACTTTTTTTGTATATTTTACTTTACAAAACTTATGTTAAATATATATGCGTATTCTTAGTTTAAATTTCGCGCTTTCGATATAAATACCTTCATGTATATACATTAAACACATTAAGTACACAATGTTGTATATTGGCACACCTTGAATATTATCATTGATTGTGATGTATATTTTGCGGTATAAAAATTTTTCAAATTTTACTTTGTGAAACACGATTTTTAATCTATTCATATATAAAAACAAAATTTCTAAGCTTACTTTATATATATATATATACATAAAATTTTATAAATCATAAGATAAGGTTAGACTAAAATAATAAACATATTGCCTAACATAACATATTATGATGTACTTGGCTTATATATATTTATATATATATATATGTATATATATTTTATACATAAATGTATTTAATGTAATATAATTATATTTATGTATATAATTGCTTATCCATATATATAGATATATCAATATATATATATGGATTTTTATATTATTATATATATACATACATATTTATATACATATATAGATGTAAAAAAAAAATCATAAGGTTAAAGAGTGTATTTAAATATATTTATAAAAATTCATAAGTAAAATTTTATATAATTTTCATATAAAAATGTATAATTAATTCAATTTAAGAAATAAGAGACCTATTATAATATATATTCTTTAATTTAAAACATGTAATACAATACTAAAAAATAAATCTTGTAGTATTTAAAAAGAAATTCTATTTAATTTTTATATTATTATTTAAGTACCAAATTAAATAATTTCCATACTTTGAACTTTGTTTATTAACAAGTAATTAATTAATATATTTTTGAAAATATTTTAAAAAACTTCTTTTATCAAATTGTAACTTAAGTAAAAAGAGTTCCCTAAGCACGGTTAGTTTCAGTTTTTTTTTCCCCCTCTTTTTATTTTTTATTTTTTTTGAAATCGTCATATCGCAGACCTTATCGTCGATAAGATAATCGAAGACTTTTTTCACTTAACTTTCATTTAAACTTTAAAGTTCTAAAACTTTACTTACAAATGTATGGCGATAATAAACGTTTTGTAGAAGATTTATAATTAATAACAATTTATGACATTATCCAGTTCCATTTAAAAATTGCAATAAAATTAACACACCACACCATACAATATACCATATATAGATAGATATATAGTTGGAATAAAATTGTAGCAATATTCATGCCATTTATTAATTACTCTAAATTTTTCTCTATTTATGTTTTATAAATAGAGTTTTATTATGAAATTTTAAATAATATGCTTATTATTTATATTTATATTTGGAACGTATATGAACACCATTCATATATATTTGAAGTCTTTCTTTTAAGTTTGGTGTTCATGATACATGACAACAAGTATAGACGTAGTTATGAAACTACTCCTCCTCTTTGAGACATACTCACTTATCAGAATGCCTCGGCGTATGTACACAGTTTGAGAAGATTTTAGGTAATAACAAAAATGACCGGTTTTTTTAGTTTGAATAGATCTGAAATCAAACTAATAAATTAGTTTTTTAATAGAACATGCTTCCGTTAACTATCAACTGCAGATTCTATAAAAAGCAGATTAAAATTTCTGCATATTTCAAGATCTTTCAAGATCTTAATATGGGTTTTATTGAACCATATGAAATCTGTGAAGTTGAACTCTAAAAGAGATTGTTTGGTTTGTCAAGAGTTTTTAATTGCCCGAGTTAGGTTAGATGTTTGTGTTCAGGTATAGTACGGTATAGTATATTAGATCTTATATGTAGTCAGGTATAGTACGGTATAGTACATTAGATCTTATATGTCGTCATGTATCATTGTCCCTCCTAATACTAAACTACACTTTAGAAAATTCAATTAAAACTGGTTAGTTTAGAACTCAGTTTTACTTCTTACTTTCTAAATGTCATATGCCATCGATACGGTAAATTTTTCTAACTTCAAAAGCGTAACATTTGCACATTTTCAGTGTAATCGCGTTTGAATGGTTCTTTGCTACGTTATTGGTATGAAAATTATAGGATTGTCTTAGATTTTTCCAGATGTGGTTTATATAATTTAAGTCAGTAGTGTTTTGGCCACTCTAAAGACTGAAACCAAAAAGAATCGGTATTTGCGACATGTGCGATGGTGTTGTCTATATCAAAACTATATTGGTTGAATTTCTTTAAATTGATCTAAGATATATTTTCAGAAAATAATAATATGTTGTTGTTGTACCACAGATAGGAGAGTTGAGCGTCACTTGATTGTGTGAATATATTGCACAAGTGGCTCCACGAAGTTTCCCTTAGCCGCTTCTGAAGAAAAAAAATATAGGGTAGTGAGTGGAAAAAGGGAACGAGAGGAAGGGCGACGACAGTGAATAAGTGAGGGAAAGGAAAAAGTCGGTGTATGAAAAAGAAAAAGATAGAAAAAATTATAATTTCACTGGGCATTTTTCTATAAAAATTTTGAAATTTTTTTATACAAAAATGTTCAGAAAAAACCAAATGCTAGTTAAATCTCCCAGAGATATCTCCATTGGCAAACTGAACATAGATTTGACAAAACATTTTTATGTAACGGCTTGTTAATGATACAATTGTGTTTAATTAAACATTAAATTGTGTTGGTTTGACATTCAAATCAAGTGACCGTTTCTGTAGGTCTTCGAGAGTATGCCATAAACTCCATGATAGTGATGACGTTTGAGGCCTTTTTGATTAGAATCTTCTGATTTTGGTTTTTATTTAATTTCTTATGTTGATTTATTTTGATTTTTTAACCTAACGTGATGTTTTTTATTTGTTGCTACATATAAATTTAATAAAAATGGTACTTAGTTTTAATTATAATTAAATATCTATCGGACATGGTGGAATGAAAAAAACCTAAAACATTTCGTGAAACAAACGGGACCATAAATAAAAGCAATGTTTAGAAATATAACGTATTTCTCTGTAATAAAAGTAAACTAATACAACTAAAATGGAAAAATCACCATAGCGTAGAGGGCGCAATCAAAACAGTCTATACCGTTATTTAGTTATGCGGATTTGGAGTACAGCGCAAGTATCTCTCATCTTCAATTATACGAGAATGTATTCCTTTCCGAAAAGTATGCGAAACGTCATTGCACATTTTCTACCTTAAAACGTTGCCCCAAAGAGCAGCACAAAACTTGCGGTGGTAGTAATAGTTAAGCTTATGTCAGTTAAGGTAATTAAGACACATAAATTAATTTTAAGTCTTAGGATTTTTCAAATAAAAAACATGTAGAAATATCAAATGCTGTACTTTTTATTCCAAAGAAGGCTAAGCTTATTGCAGTGAAGACGTTTAATACAAGTACCATTCAAACAGTGATTCTAAGTTTTTATAGATAGATCGAAGTACGTATAAATTCTAATAGTTCGATATACATTCTTGTGACCATAACGTATACGAGGCCGGCTATATATATTTTTGGCCTAGGCAATACTAAGTGTTGCCAGGTGCAATCTGACATTTCCATTGGTAAGGTTGACATTTTTTAGCATAACATCACTCAGAACGTGTTGTCATTTAATTCTGAATTGTTTTATTTACAGAAACTTGGAAAATTCATCTCGGGCAAAAAATGGAATTAACACGAAAATTTTCGGGAGATCATTTTTCACAAATTTCGAAGTGGTTATCATTTTCGATTATCATTATCATATCATTATCATTTCGATTGTCACTACAAGAGTACATTGATGAAGTTAAATCTTTGTATGGCGATGAAGCACTATCCTATAGCACAGTGAAAAACTGATTTAATGAATTCAATCGTGGCCGACGCTCGCTCAACGACGAATTCCGTGAAGGTCGTCCAAAAACGGCCGTTGTGCCAGAGAACATTGATACCGTGCGTTAACTGATAATGCAAGATCGTCATGTGACATACCGTGAAATAGAGGCATCCTAGGACATTTCTCCCATCAGCATACATTCGATATTGCATGAACACCTGGCCGTAAAAAAGGTCTGTTCTCGTTGGATCCCGCACAATTTGATAATTGCTCAAAAAAAGGCTCGTGTCGATTGGTGCAAAGAAATGTTGAAAAAATATGTTCGCGGTGCTTCAAAAAACTTTTATAAGATCGTCAAAGGTGACGAATCATGGATCTATGCGTATGAGCCCGAAAGAAAACAACAATCGACCGTGTGGGTCTTTGAAGACGAGTCAAATCCAATGAAAGTTGTTCGTGGAAGGATCACTTCGAAGCAAATGGTCGCCTGTTTCTTCGGCAAAACTGTTCATGTGGCGACTGTTACGCTTCAGCAACGAAGAACGGTCACTTCTGAGTGGTACATCACAATTTGTTTGCCTAAAGTCTTCGGAGAAATTTGAAAAACGAACAAGAGAAGACGAGTCATTGTACACCATGACAACGCTAGCTCTCACACATTGGCTCAAACCAGCGCCTTTTTGGTCGGCCGAAACGTCGAATTGATGGGTCATCCGCCGTACAGTCCTGACTTGACACCCAATGACTTTTTTTTTTCCCCCACATCAAGAAAAAAATGCGTGGTCAACGATTTTTGTTATCAGAAGATGCTGTTGAAGCGTTTAAAAACCATGTTTTGGAGGTGTCTCAATCGGAGTGGAAAAAGTGCTTCGACAATTGGTTTGAGCGCATGCAAAAGTGTATAAATCAGACTGGAGAATACTTTGAAAAACATAACAATTTTTGATGATGAATATTCGCATTTTCATTATTACGCCAGAAATATATATAGCAGCTCTCGTAAGAGTGTCAAACTGTATTGACATTTTTGTTCAGTAAGATTTGGCAATTCATCATAAATAGTTTAACTCTAGAACAACGGTTCCAAATTGTAAAAATTACTTTAAAAAAAAGTATCCATGTATTCCATATATTGGCTCTGTATATTGGCAAAATTGCCGTATATGGAGCGAAGATAATACTCAAGCTATTAATGAATCAACATTACATCAATTGAAATGGACTGTTTGGTGCGGTTTACATGTTGGCGGCATGATCGGTCCTTATTTCTTTCGAAATAAGAAAGAAGCTGTCGTTACGGACAAAAGCGACCGCTATCAAGCCATGTTGACTGAATTTAGGTTTCCAAAAATTAATCAGTTCCAATAAGAGGGTGTAAATTGCGAAACAGTGCCCTTAACAATCGACTTATTCCGAAATCAAACTGTATTTGGTCCTGCTAATTGGCCCCTCCTTCGTGCGATATAACTACTCTCATTTACTTTTTATGGGGTTAGGTCTATGTTAAGTCATGGGTATTGAACTAATCGAATGGACCATGTAACTCGTAGTCGCGGCGGAAATACGCAGGAAATCGTATACAAAAAAAAAAACCATGAAATTATTAGATTACAGAAAAAAAAAGGTTTCATTCCAATAATATTTCTATTTTGTATTATCATTTTAAGTTTTCATGCAGCTAAAAAACACTCTTTACAATCAGATACTTTGTCCTCTGTGAGACATGTCCTTCTTTTCAAAAATATCTTATTGCTTTTAGTATAGAAAGGGAGAGAGTATTTTAAGGAAAGACAGAAATATTAAACTACAAAAAGAAGAATATATGTGAGGAAATATAATTAATTATATTAAACAATTAACGACATCCAAAAGCTTTAATTTGAATCAATGGATAAGCCTTAGAATATCATTAAGCCATATTTATTCTAATAATACGATTATAAATACCAGAAACACAGCTCATAGAAATCAGGTTGGAAATACAATCGAAATGTAGTTGCTCAGTAAAGTAGACTCCTGCGACCTTAAAGACTCAATAGAAAGCAACAAACAAAAGCATTCCCTATTTTTTTCCTTTGTGGTTGAATGACACACCATGAGTGATCTTTTTTGATTTTTATCTTGCCAAAAAAAATTTCAAACAAGAAAAATCAAAATACCATAAGCCGGATAAGGGTTATATCGCAGACATTTATACTAGTAACCAGTCTACAAATTGAGCCTTGACTGTGTGATACAGGTTATAGCCTAGCTGCAGTCGAAGCTGGTCTTTTAAGTAAGCAGGTATATAAGGATAACACCAACTATTGAATCGGGTACTGTTATGGGACGGGTACGTGTAGTATCTGCCATAGTCGTAGATGGAAATATTTTTTTGTGTTTTTTTTCACGGTAAAAAAGTTGCGTAGTGTTCAAGGGAACCCTGGAACTTTGGCTTTAAGTACAATCTCTAGAAACGTCAAAAAGTTCGCATAAATCAAGTGACTAAAATAAATCAAGATTATATTGGAGCAACCAGTGAACGAAAAACTCCGTAAGCAACAAGGTGGAATCCGTCCAAACGGAAGTGAGCTATCATAGAACAATCAGTCGAATACAACAGTCCATTGCAATTTTTGTAAACTATAAAAAACCTTTTGACTCTATCAAGAGAGAATGCATCTGGTTTCCTCTACAAGCAATTGGCGTTCTGCAAAAAATTTTAATACAATAATAAACTATAGTAATAATAAAAAACTGTGAAGGATTCATAAGTAGGGTACTTTATAATGGCAAATTAAGAAATTAAGCCACGTATTTACTTCAACCACGGGTGTTAAGCATGGCTACATCCTGTCACTAGTCTTGTTCATCGTAGTTCTGGAATGGGCGCCTGAGATTTTTGACTTAAAAGAAGGGCATAAATTGGAGACTTAATACCAACCTTGAGGACTTAGCCTATGCAGATGACATTGACTTGCTTTCGCATACCCACCAACACATGTAATCAATTACATAAAGAATCGTTGACGATCCAGCTTAAAATCAATATAAAAGAAACTAAGTGTATTCGTAGTCATGCAAACAATTCAGTAAGCTTCACAATTGATACCGAGAATGTCGTAATGCCAAGCGATTTTTCTGATTATATGTGAGTTGTAGAAAAGATCATCATATTTAAACTAGGCTAACACAATATTACATTGCAAATATTGGTAATATTTTCGAGTAATAAACTACACAATAATATACTTTACAACAGTTGACAAAATAGCTTCAGAGATAATTGAAACTCTATTGCGGATAATCTTAAATACAGGAGGCCATGAACTCAAGCTCTATCATTCTTCATACGGCCGTAGTCTGGGCGCAAGCTTAATCCCATCAACGGTTTTTCTGAGTGCTATACAGGTTGCGATAGTACAACCGATTATATATCTACAAGCGGTTTGCAATGAGCTTACTCACTGAACAAAAGCATTAGTATGAAGAGAGACTAAACAAGATTAAAGTCTTCCATTATGGAACTCCACGAATTAAGCTGTGCGCTATAAATCTCGAACAATAATTTTCAAAAAGTAATCATATATATATATAAGTTGTATATAATTAAAACATTATCATATAGGTACATATTTTACATATTTTTATATATTTTAGAAACCTTGATAACTTAACACACTTGTTTATATATTAAATATTTAATTTTAAATTAGCTAATATCATATGTATTAAATGTAATTATCCAATATTTAGGCTGGAAATCAAACCTGTAACTAATGTCTGTTCATTCAGATATGCATAGCGCTTATATATTCAAATAATAGTTGGCTAGGTGCTAGGCTTTTGTAAATTTCTATGGTTTATAAATGTAACTTGATTAAACTACTTGAAATAAGTCGTAGTTTACTAGGAACTGTTACAGACACGTGAATAAAAACTAAAAGTCTACTAAGTACCAATAGACAAATCGTTAACTTTGTAACCATTTAGTAATATTTGCAAATAAACAGGTAGATATATAAAATAAGAGATAAGTAAAATTATTTCGTTAATATTACAATGAAATAGAAAATTAAAAAGTAAAATTGTCAAAAATATTTGTCTCTTATAGGATCTTGTTAATATTAAGTGAATTGGGGTCATGTCATTTTAAAAACTTGATCAAAGGATGGATACCTGAGGTAACAGGTCGTCTGAAAAACAATAATAGGTGCGTGCCTGTATGAAATTTAAAAGGTAGGTTAACACAATGATTTCCATGACTTTGAAGAAGTATATATAGTATATAATAAAATGTATTAGTAAATAAAAGTTCCAACCATTCAGAGGTAGGTTGTGATCGGTCTGCCGCTGTCTTGATACTTTTTAATAATATGTTATAACAGCTATCTTTTAGTATTAGACTTAAAGATGTCCATCATGCACGTTTAACATAAACTTCAATTTTCCGCCTTAGATGCCAATGTCGTTACATCAAAAGTAAGTATGGTAAAGCTTATGTTATTGTACGCTCTGGGGTGAATATATGCTTGAACTTATTTTGAAGTCTTATCCTTATTTTACATTAAGGATACAAATGTATTCTTGAATAGTAAAATAGATGGATTTGGTCGTGCTCGTATTGTCGAAACTGCTAAGTTCAGTTGACAGCAAATACGAGTACTACATATATTGGATAAACTATTGTAGAAGCATACAGACACGCCCAAGGACTATATCCTAAGACTTATATATACACATTTATGTGTAATGGTAAACATTAAGTACTTATTTATAAAAGATCACTGTGAGTTTTTTTCGTTCAGCAGGTTTTGATGATTTCATATTCGATTCACATACGATTCATGGAAATGAAATTTGCTTGTGTAATTGGTCGTATAGATTAAAACGTTGGATAAATACCAAGTACTAGACCTCTACAGACTGAGGTAATTCTGAAGTATTTATTGACATCAATACTTAATTAGTATTTCACGTCCTCGGGCTCTATTGAATCAAGATTGCCGTGGTTGATTCCGATCTACATTACTTTACGGTTGGGTACCTTACGGTTGGGTACTTCATTATTTCACTAAAATCTTTTATAGTTATTATCATATATATTATGTTACTTATACTTATTTTAACATTGAGATCTCATTTAAGATTATGTTTTTGGAAAAAACATGAGAGAATCGAATGCGTATGTTTCACTATTGAGATTAGATTTCAAAAGTAGCAAATGTCTTTACTGTTTCTGATGCGATACACAGGACTAAGAAAGGTAAATATCTTTATGTAATTAATATACGGGTTTTGAATTATGCGTTTTTTTGTTGAAGTTGTAATTTCGGTTCAATTAAATATAAATAACTGGGTTTGGGTTTGGGTCCTGTAAAAATATTGGTTTTTTAGATTTCAGTTAAAGTTCATTTTCGGTTCAAAGCCCTATCTTATATAAATTTTACGCTAGTTGCATACAATAATTCTGTTTTTTTTAAGGTTTACGTTAACACTTACAAATGGATTGAGGTTGTTAATTACTTCTGAAGATGTGGCAGATTGATACAAATTCCAAATTGCTTGTATGTTCGAGATCAGAAATACTGCTTATACACTAGATGGATTGATAATTACCTGACTTGGAATGGAATGTAGAGGGATACTCTAACCTACATCTCCAAAAGTATTTACGTCCATTCGTTGGCTGTTCTTCTTGTATCACTTTAATGATGTTGCCAACTAGCATTATCTACAACTTTTTAAGGCTTTCGTTACATTTAAACTGTTTCATTACTGAATGTATTTATTATATATGTATAGAATGTATTTATTGGGATTGCGACTGTAACTTAACACCGACCGTATGTATTCATCTATTTGATAGTCTTTGCTACTAACGTTTTTGTGTGGTTCATAATTCTACTTTGGTTTCGTCTATATTTTTTATTAACCCAATTCATTGTATTAAGTAATCTGTGTAAATATTATGTACACGTTATGTAAATATTTCATACAAAATTTAAATGTTATAATATGGGAATGACCTTATCTTCTTCCCCAAAGGCTTAAATAAAGATATATATAAATATATCATATCATATCGATACCGATACCAACGATAAGATATCATTATAAAAATAGTCCATTTAGCCTGATTAACAATTAAGCACTTCGATCAATCTTATGGAGTCATCGGTTTTCCTTTGTAGCGGTTTTCCTATGTATCAACTTTAAGAAAAGCTTAAGAAAAGCTTGTTTACTATATTATATACTATATATGCAATTACGTAGTTTTAAGGTAATACGTTTTTAAAATAATAAATAACTTTCAAGTTTGTTTTAATTTAATAAAAAAATTTTTTTTCTATATTTCAACAAGATGTTATAAATTACTTTTTTATTAATTTGAAATATAAATATATATACTATATTAATATTTATTAATTAATAAATTAAATAATAAAAATTTTTTTTTTATTTATTATCCCTTTTAATAGTATTAGTTTCAATTGATAAAAGAATCAAATCATGAAGCCTTGACAAACCTATGGGGAACCATAAATAATTCTTTAAAAGTTTTGTTTATTTTTGAAACGTACAACTGTATGACGTCTAACGTCATATATTACAAAAAACAATCTACTATAATAATAGAAATTGTAGAGCATCTGTCTTTAGCTGCTCTCAGTCTTGGTATTTTTTCTGAAGACCCATTTTCAAATAACACATCATAGGAAAATGTTAAGTTGATTGTATACTCTAATAGCTGTTCATCGAATTACTTGCTGTAAGATTATTTGAAAGCTTTAGTTTAGGTGGATTGTACCTAGTGCTTGTTTAGAGCTTTAGTTGCTTGAAAACATATATTTTCAAGCGACTGAATGATAGTAATTCTAATTTCAAGAATGGGGTTCCTTAGATACTCCTAATGCGATCACTTGAAAACAGTTTTTAATAATATATATCATTATGATTTCATTGATTCATACATTTAATTTTATTTGTAGCTTTTTGTGTCGGTAACTTTTGTTTCAATATTAATTAAATTTCTACTTGGTATACCTAAGTTGATGACGTAAGTATATCTCAAGTCGGTATTGGCGTTAAAGTCACGACTTGATATTACCATAGTTCTTAACACGTTATAGGGTAAACTATACTTATTATGGTAAATCAATAGATAGTAAATTTATCGTGATAAAATATATATCTGGGCTTGTATATTTCAAAAATTTGAAGTTAACTAAAAAACTGCTAATCCGCAGGAATACTAATTTAAAAATATGGAATGGGTACCGTTGAAATGATTCCTTTTGTTATTCTGATCAATAATGGATGCAGTTCATGTGGTTTCCGGTATCTCATTCCCTCACTTGAATTTCACACTAGTCTGCTCAGAAGTAGAATAATTACGAAGAAATGTGAGCCAAAATTTAAGAGTTGGCATTCTGAGTTCTTTAAGCTGTCACAACGTGTTCTGGCATATCGCAAACAAATTGAAACATTAATAGAAAGGAGCAAAAAGTTTTTTCAACAATGCGAATAAAATATGTAAAACGTCTCGAAATACACTTTTTTGAATGTAACCAAAACTTAACATTAAGTCATAGAATCGTGCTTGAATCGTATTCACAGAAAGAATACAGACTGTGCCGTATGCATCGGACTATGTTTTTAATATTTTTTATGGAAATTCTTTTCAGCATTAAAAAGGATACGTGACCAGAAAATTAACTCAATGATGACTGTTGGTACTCAACTTGGTTTTGGCTTTTTACTCCAACTTGTTCTACGAGTAGCATTGCTCTTAGCTGCTGCAAGCGTTGTATTGTGTTTGCCTTAACATTTTTCTTGGAAAGAAAAATTCGTGCGCATACAGGTGACGCCTTCTTATTATGGTTCCTCAATTCCTGAAATTTTCGTATAAAAACAAAAAAAAAAGACAAGTAAAAAAACCTGAACCTGAACTGAACCATCAAAATGAGAGTTGTGCAGTCAGTTTGTTGGTCAAAAAATAGAAATCATATATGAAAACCACATTTTATTAGGTAAAAGCAGGATTAGTGGGATTAGAATTACTATTCAACGAGATAAATATACAATTTTTGAAAAATAATATTTTTTTGTTGTTAAAAAACTTTGCAAATTCGAGAAAGTAGAGTAATATAGTATGTGGGATGACGCCTGAGGGGTACACATAAAAATTACGAAATTTACTTTTGGAACTTTGCTAAGAGTAGCAACGAAACAAGTAATTACTTAATTATTTATATTTGGTTTTAAAAATATTATGTTTCAGTAACTTTTTAGTGTACTTTAAGCATTAAATATGCTTGAACTATTGCATTGAAATTCAATAGGTTCCTTGCAAATATTCTCATACAAAAAAAATAATATTGGTCCAAAACAATTTCCGTGTAAGCCATCTACTTATTTATCTTTCAATAAGAATATGATATCCCTATCATAGGTTTGGTTAGGATTATACCGGTGAACTCTTAGGAATCTGCGTCGGCCTATTGGTGCTCTATATTACTGCATATGGAGTAAACTCAGGGTTTAAAACCACCTAGAACCGTTGGCGAAGCTTAGAATGCTGTTTAGTGGGAGGTCTTATAATTGAACAAGATCCTGAAGAAAGAGCGGTTCTAAAGTATTGAGTTGCCGCCGTATATCAGCTGGGCAAAGACAGAGTAGATGAGAGACACTTTCATCGTCTTCCCCATAGCTGTGACAGATATGATTGAAAGAGAACTTCAATCTTCTAGCATGGCTCACTACTCTGCAATAAGCTGTAAGTAAACTTGTCATAAGATTGATATCTCGACGGGGACTTTTCACTTAAAGGAAATTGGATTTCCTTTTAGTGGAAACTGGCCAGATTGCATACAGATTGCATATCGTAGAGTGTTCTCATCTTTTATTAAAAATTTCGGCACAGGAAGAATTTAAATCTGTACCTTAAGTTAACATTAAGCATTAAGTTAACATCTTTTGTAACATAATAGTAATACTGCTGGATGTCTTAAATCAACTTCTTTAAAAACGCTTAAACAGTAACCATCTCTCAACATAGGACTGTCAAATCTATAAATTCGTCTATTGTTAATTTTTTTTAAAACTATATCCAAACTTATCCAAAGAAAATATATATCAGCAGTTAAATAATTTGTTTTAATCTAGTCATAAAAGAAATTACTCAGAATTAGACCAAACAAATTGATTCCAATGTCTTTCGAAGAGGCAACGAGTATCGCTAGCTTTTCAGCGTGTGCTATATATTAATATGCCTACGAACTCAAACTATAGCCATTATATACCATTAACCGGTACTTACTACCTTGATATATTGCCTGCAAAGGTGTAATGTCTTAGACGAGATGCAGGCCTTTGAAATTGCTTTAACAGCTGATTTATCAGTGTAGATAGTTTACTGTCTATGCCTTTTGCGGCAGATCCAATGACAAAGTTATTATCAGAGTATTAGCGAGGCCATATGTAATCTGATTCATCACAACTAATACTAGAATTGGTTGATTAAAATTGACTCTTTCCTGCAACCAAGTCCATAAGTTCATGTGCACTAAGACTTGCGGTTAGTTAAATGTTAAGATAGATGGATAGTAAGTGGAGCATAACATTGAGTGTAGTAGTAGGACATGATTCGAACATTGTCGCATGCTAATCTTTACAGCTTGGTTATTCTTAGAATACTACATTATTTATTAAACAAGGGTTTGTTCGACCAATCAATTTTTTAATTCTACTATTGACAATTAGATGGCGCTTCGTGAATTTTTGTTCAACGTAGGATATGAGACTTTGCTTTTATCTACTAAAACCACCTCTTAGGAATACATGGAGAAGATTTCCACCGCTGCCCTAGTGGACACATTGTGGGACTAAGCATTTACCAGTTTAGGTTTATCTAAGCCAGAAAGCATGGGCATGGCAGAGTTCAGCGTAGTATTTGAAGATTAATATTTCGGTAAATCTAGTGTTTTTCTCACAAAAATCTTTAAGCGTTTACTTACCTGATTCGTAGATATTTTTGATATGTAAATTAGTCAAATAACTTCAAAGAATTATGTTTATATATTTTTTGTGTTGATTTTGATTTATACAGTCAACAATTACTTCTTTTATATAAAGTTGTCAACATTTCAAAGTTTTATGATTTTTTCATAACGTGGCATATTGAATAATTATTAATTTGAAATTAATTTGTAGCTCACTACCCTTGAATTCAAAGCTGACAGCTTAACCCGCTCTGGTGCTTCCCTGGATGTGTACCAGGCGGTACTGGTTTATATTATCCTAGAGAATATTAAGAGAAGTACCTAGCTCTACTTTCTTCAACTTGCCAATAACAGATGGAAAACACTTAAGTCATGTACAACTGCGTGGTTAATATGAAACTCATCAAAAGAGATAGTGTGAAGACTGCAAGGCTTACTGTAGTTTTTTTCTGGTCATTGGTCATAATAAGCGATGCAATTAAACTGCGAAACCCAGAGGAAAAAGAAGCCATAATGCATTTTCACTTTGAATGTCTGACTTTGGCATCCACACGATACTTCTTTGATAGTTTGTTAGACTGTTTATCAGTGCAGACGATAGACCTATTAAATTATCTAAATTCAGTGGGATGGATTTACTCTTTACTCTGCTATACTAAGGTTCTTGCGAGGAATGTGGTAGCAGAACGGAGAAAAATCGCTACTTGAAAAATCGCCACTGTAACTAACCAACCAACCACCCTTGAAGTCTGCATAACAAAAGAATTTATGGCCATAAATAAATTAGGCATAAGTATATAATATTAGGGTTCATTTTATTGATATTTATTTAATTGAGTAAAATAATTTCAGACTAATTTGTGTCTCACTAGACGAAAACTAATATAACATACCTTTGAAGTATGCATATTAGAAGGATTTTTTGCCATAAATGATTTAAGAATAAATGGCATTTCCGTATACCTATAAGCAAAAGTCACAAAAGAAAGTGTGGTGCCAAATTATAAAATATTTCAAGTTTTGTTTGGAACATAAACTAGAAAGTTAATATTTATTGTTAATGTAATTGCAATATATTTGGTTTCTCCTCGTATTCCTCGGGCCATCTTTCAGCTGAAGGTCTCAAAATTTTCTTGTAGTCACAGAACTAAAGACATAAGCGCATTCACTTAAAATGGAATAAACACTAAATCCAATATTTCTATAGAGCACGAATAAACTTTTTCTAAGCCGAAGTCTTTAATAAACTAATGAAA